GTTATCCAGCTGATGGCCTGCAGGCCAGGAAAATTTACGAGATGTTCTCAAACCATTCTCCAGATATGAGATTGTTTATTTCCTTCCGTTTGCCATACTTCTTAACCGTTTCCTCTGAATCCTTGGGATGCTTGTCCTTGTGCTTTTTGCTTTCCTATTTCTGTACTGAAATAGGTTTATCAGTTTTTAGATACGAGCTAAGTTGGAGCTAAGTAAATGCCATATCGCCTAAGGCATGCTAAGTAAACAGACCCTTTTAGAAAGCAAATCAAATTCTGTCGTTTTAAAACGAAGCAGGGAATTCTGTTGAATAAAAGCTTGTGAATGTCTCATATTGTTTAATTTGTTTCATTGCTATTTATAGTAGACTTTTATTTAAAGGGTATATATATTGGGTTGGCAAGAAAGTCATGTCGTTTTTTTTCAATATTTTCAAAGATGATTTATTTATATCAGGACTTATAATTAATCAATTATGTATTGGCCGTTTTGTTCGACCACTAATGACCATCTCTCGGGCAGCTGCATAATTCCGCGCTCGAAGAACTTTTGGTCTTTTCCAGCAAAGAATCGAGACAAGTGGTTTTCGACAGCCTCATCTGAATCAAAGTTTTTACCATTCAAAGAGTTTTGAAGAGAGCGAAACAAATGGTAATCTGAAGGTGCTAAGTCCGGACTATAAGGTGGATGTGGTAGCACTTCCCAATTCAGCTCCGTTAATTTTTGCCGAGTGACCAAAGATGTGTGGGGCCTAGCGTTGTCATGGTGAAAGACTATACCCTTGCGATTAGCTAGTGCCGGCTCCTTTTCTTTAATTTTTTCCGCCAAATTGGATAGCTGGCGACAGTACACATCTGAATTGATGGTTTCATTCCGTCCCAGCAGCTCAAAGTGCACTACACCCTTCCAATTCCACCAAACAGACAGCATAACTTTCCTCTGATGGATATCGGCCTTTGATGTGGCTTGGGCTGGCTCATCTTTCTTGCTCCATGATCTTTTTCGTTGGACATTATTGTAAACAACCCACTTTTCGTCGCCAGTAATGATCCGCTTCAAAAAAGGATCGTTTTTAATCCGTTGCAGCAGAGAATAGCAGATGTTGATACGCTTAGTTAGGTGAATTTCCTTTAAGTTATGCGGAACCCAAACATCGAGCTTGCTTACGTAGCCAAGTTTCTTCAAATGGTTTTCAACCGTTGTATGCGACACACTGAGCTTCTCTGACATCTCCCGCGTTGAATAGCGCCGGTTTTCATCCAGCAAAGCCTAAATTTGTTCGTCAAAAACGGCCGATGGTCGACCAGAACGTGGGGCGTCTTTAACTCCAAAATCTCCAAGCCTGAATTTGGCAAACCAGCGCTGACATTGGCGATCACTCATGGCATCTTTACCATACACTTCGCACAATTTTTCGCGAGCTTCGACCGCTTTTTTTCCTTTTCGGAAGTAAAAAAGCAAAATATGCCGAAAATGCTCACTTTGGTCCTCCATGTTTAATTTGCTATAGCTTCCACAAATGTTATCGAATAATTACCAAATTTTCGTCGATAGTACCTAAAACGATACTAAAAAGTGTGACCCTGGTGCTCGATTAGTCGTAAATAAATTAGATTAAAAACGATTACTAAAAAAAACGACATGACTTTCTTGCCCACCCAATACAATATGTATCTTGAATACACGGCAAGTTGGCAGTTGAACATATTATTGATAAAATATGAAATATCGATTTATTTGCATTCTCTCTAGCTCAAACCCCAACTAGTTGAAAAATATATGTGGTAAATTTCCCATGTATCCAGCAGATTAAGGAGGTATGGTAGTTACATCGCAGACAAACGAGACAAGTTTCTTACATTTGTGTGCATGTTCCATGAGCCACTTATCTACATCCATACCTGAAGGTCCTTGGAAGAAAGGGAAGGATATGTCCTCTGCGTGCACTTTGTAATACATTTTTAATGCACTTTTGCTGGCCGTGTGGTTCACACAACCAACAGGGTTAAGCTATTCGAAGTCTGAGGAGAGTTTGTCCTTTAATGAAATTAACTTTTTCTTCCTTCCACTTTTGCTGCAAAACTGAAATAAGCAGATGCGTTACACTCTCAATGGGTTTTATTTATAATTGAATTACTTTTAAGTGACTTTCAAGTGGCGAATAGTTAAGCAGGATACAATCTAATTAAAACATATGAAAACATTATGCTAGGGTAAGGAAAATTCTTTGGGATTGGGTTATGTTTAAGGAGGGGACGAAAAGATATACAGATTTAATGCTGTGAAAAAGCTTCTTTACGGAACTGAATCCTAAAAGCAACAGGAATTTAATAAAGTTTAAATGTTATTTGACTTTACAAAATTTTAATAAACGGATGGTTTGCGGTGAAATTTTTGGGAGGTTTAATACCTCCCCGTTAACATTGTCATATATAAAACAATGTCCTGCTTCCTTTTGTTTAATGCTGGTGGCAGGTGTCGAACCGAAAAGTAATTACCATAAACTATGAAAATGGAATGGGTTTATTGATTAGTTTTGTTTAAATTGTAATTGAAAACTTGTAAGATTTCCAGTGACCGATTAGTAATGGCTATTCAATATTAATTCAGGCGAGTCCGACACGCGCCAAAATTCAATGGAAATAACAATTTCAGATTAAATATGCCGCTTTGATTGACACTTGCATGCGGCCGTGATTGAAGGCGGAAATGGATGTCATGACCGCTGAGCCTGAGACTTTCGGGTGGCCAGGTTAACATAATTGAGCAGCCTGGTGCCGCGTTTCGTTATAATCGTCATCGCCTGCTTAAGCCGTTAATAACACATCATTTTTGTGTCATGACCAACGTGGCCTAGTATCCTGTTACCAAGTCGCGTGGCGCGGCTGCAGGAGCAGCAATTATGGCCATTTAATCCGCAACCACAAGAGGCATGGAAACTACAAATTGGTTTAGGATTTCGTCGGGTTATTTGCCGCTTAAGTGGCCAACATTTGCCATTTAAATCGAAAAAAGTATTCTCGCACGCACACTTCACCCCAGAAAATTATTAGAGGTCGTTTTCTTTTCAGGGGAGGGAGAAAAACCAGCACGCAACATTTCAGAGATCCCAGTTCCCATAACTGCCTGAAAGTATGCCTATAAAATTTATTTTACATTTGATCGCTGTAAAATTCATGTAGAAATCTACGAGGACTTCGAAATTAACTGGAAGAATTCTTCATTCTTCTCAAATATCAAAGAAAATGATAATTGCCAATAACACCTACTTTGAATGTTTTTTATATCGCCATCCTTACCTTTTTTGGGTGTTCTTAATTATATTCACCTATTCAAAACTAGATTTTTAATTTTTTTTTGTTTTTCAAATATTTTTGTATTTTTATTTTCATTTGTTTTGTAAATCTTACATAATATTTATGCGCTTTTATTTCATTTACACATACACATAGATGTATCATATATATATATATAATTTTTGTTGTCTTATGAACATATTCATGAGATCAGTAATGATATTTATGTATATTAAAATATTACAGCATAATATAAAATGTACAAGTAAACAAAGTGTTTTCTGCTTTCGAACATAAAACTAAAACAGAAATGTTTTCTTAAATTGAATTGACAAAATTGCAGAATCAAACTTATGATTGAAGTTACGATATATGTATAAATGTATAATATGCGAAATACACGTGTTCATTGACAATTATGTGTCACTGTTTTGGCACCAAACAAAATTCTATACAAAAAATGGCATTTGATTCTATGATTCCAACTGCGCTATATACAAGGTCGAGTAAAGATACTTAAATTTAAAAACGGATTAAGTCGCATTGGGTCAAAAATATAAATTTCTGTGTTTCATTCTGATTTTTTTTCCATTTGCTTCGTTTTTCTTTAACTTTTTGTTCGAGTATTTATGGCAAACCAAAAATCTAATCGATTTCTGGGCGCGAGGCCACAAAACTTTACCGAGATCATTGTGAAAACTAATTAGCCATGAACCGAAGAAGCAGCCAGGATAATTCCGAAGCTGACATCCCGGTTCAATTGATGCAAAAAATTTACAAAAATAATTTTTCATTGGGTATGGATGTAGTTTTTCGGTTTTGTGGTAGTTCAAATTAATATTGATACATGTGTACGAGAAAATGTTCTATTGCGTTGCTGGGATTTGTCTGGATTGGGAATTGGGATTCGATTGGGGCTGTCACTTAGGCTACACAAATAATATTGCTCTATATACAAATATAAATTCGTGTCCGAAGACAGCGCAATAAACTCACTAAACCGACTTAAACATTCTAGAAGTAGAACTAAAACGCTTGGCGAACTTAAACCTAGACTTTTCATTAATTTTTGTTTCGGTTTCTGTGTTTCACTTTCTGCTTTCTATAACATTTCTCATTGTAAAAAACGGTTGATGTATTTGTATTGTATAAATCCATGAGATCAATGCGATTTTTGGGAATTGTTTTTTCTTTCTTTTTGATTGATTTTCTCTTATTATTTTCGCTATGTTTGCTTTCATGTCACGGTATTCGATTAGCATTGAAACGCCCTGGAAATTCTAAGCAAATAGTGAAAATTGCCTATAAAATATGTTTTCCTCCTCATTTCTTTTTTAACTTTGGCTAGCTGTGGAGATCAACTTTCATTAATTTCCATTGTGAGAGATCATTTATGTGCATTCCAAAAAAGACTGTGTAAGAACGGGAAAACCATCTCTCTCCTGGCCAAGTTTCAAACGTTTTGCCATCAACTTCCTGGGCGTGGATCTTAAGACTACTATATTGTGAGACCAATTTGAATATGATGATGAACAAACAATGACAAAAAATTACAAATAAACATAAATCATAAGAAATTTAACTAAAATAACATGACATAAACCGTAGACACAAAACATCACAAAAATGGCGTAAAAACTATATACAAAATTAATTTAATGATTTTTCATTCATTTTTTTTGTTGTGTTTTTCTCTGCTTTTGTTTTTTGTTTTAACAATTAAAGCTAGGTGTGTGATTTTCTTGTGGACTTACATTTAAAAAATTCTACTAGTTAAACATATTTAAAATATACTTTTTGTTTTGCTTGCAATTCGGAATTGCAAATGCGAAGACATTTAAATTGCAGTTTATTTTGTTCTACAATAGAAATAATTTTGTATGTTGCTTACGAAAATGCAAGTGTGGAATTGATTAAATGCGAATCAAAGATTATCAAAAGTATCTCAAAAAGTGGCAGTTTTCTTTTGCGTATCTCTTGTTTTTTTGTACTTTTCTTTTTTTTGTAATTTGTAAATATCTCTCAAAAGTGTGTACAAAAATATGCATATGCAAAAAAAATAAGTGTGATTTGAGTCTCTTGCCAGTCTAAGAGTTTTCATTACTTTGAGCAGTATTAATTGTTCACTTTGAGGAAAGTTCTGTTTCGTTTCGATTTAGAAATACAAATGCAGTTACCATAGACAGATAGAATATATTGTTCTTGTGTCCCGTCAACCTTCTTAATCTTATGTTGGCTGTGTGTGTATATAACAATTCGTTTACGAATTAATGACTTTCTGCTTGCGGCCTTGCAGTTCAATAAATTCGTTGAACTTATTTACGGTTTAGCTATAGCTATATCTATGTATAGATCGGCATATATCTTAAGTGCTAGCTGATTTAACTATAGATCATTCGATTACACGTCTCCCGCGGTTTCATCGCGCCGCAAAGAAGCCACAGCCCATGGCCAAAACGAAAACGGTCACAACAGTTGGCCAGGTGAAGCTCTGTGGTTTCTGGAAGGAGAAAAGAAAAGTGGGATATATTTATTAGTCATTCATTTCTCAGGTTTTCAGTAATACAATTGCAATTTATTATAAGTTGCTTAAACACAACATTAATTAAATATTTGTAGCAATAGAAGTACCTCTCATCAGCCTCTACGCAAAAGAAATGGACTCATTTTAACCAATAGCTCCCCTGTGTGGCATAAAATATCTAAAACCACACACGCGACCGAAACCACCCCTCTGAAACCCAGCTAACCCCGCCCTCAATCACTTTGAACCGTAAATCAAGCGAAACTATTGACTCTCCAGCGGATGAACTTCATGTGGCCTGACCCAAATGGGCGGTCAACTTTTGTCCGGTCACTGGTGTAATTATTTTTCTATATAACGCACTTGACTCGCCCCCCTCCATCCCAAACCCGCACCAATGGTTATATAATTTACACCATTTATTTGTCCAATAGTCCACGCTTCAATGGTTGCAGTGTGGCGCGTGTGAGTGATGAGGTGGTGGAACTACAACCACCAAAACATCCAACTGACCCCACATTTATTATGCAAATTCGCTTTTCTGCTGTTTTTGTCCGAATTTTGGGATATATTTCGGTGGGACTTTTGTGGCTTTGTCGCTGTGGTTAATGGTATGAAAGGCCATCGAACATGTGGCCATATTTTGATTTGATTTTTGGTGAGAGGAGAAATTAATAACGACGACTCGGTGTTATGTTTAAAAAATGTTTTGGCATATATGCCAAATGAAAACTATTTTATAACCAATTATATATACAGAGAAACGTTCTGGCGTTATCAACTTTTTGATAACTATACACTACTGATTGGACTAAGATGTACTTACACGATTTTTAAGAACGAATGCTCTCAATTCAAGAACAACGTACTTGAATATTCCGCTCTGTGAAGGTATATTTTAAATGTATTATAATTGGAATATAAGTGATTCTACTTGATCTAAGAACAAACTCTGATTAATTTCCCCCCCTTTATAATAATATTCCCAACGAACGAATGCTCTCAATTCAAGAACAATGTACTTGAATATTCCTCTCTGTGTAGGTATATTTCAAATGTATTATAATTGGAATATAAGTGATTCTACTTGATATAAGAACAAACTCTGATTAATTTCTGATTAATTTTTAAGAACGAATGCTCTCAATTCAAGAACAATGTACTTGAATATTCCTCTCTGTGTAGGTATATTTTAAATGTACTATAATTGGAATATAAGTGATTCTACTTGATCTAAGAACAAACTTTGATTAATTTCCCCGCTTTATAATAATATTCCCAACGTATTTGCATCTGCATAAGTACGAGTATGTACGCCTATTTTAGATTACGGAATTTCTCACGCTCTCATTTAGCAGCTGACGGAGTCTCGGATAAGGTCAGATCCCAGGGAGCTGAGTGGGCTGCCATGCAGCTTCCCGATCAGCCCGCAGCCTCCCCAAGGATGAGCCCCCACAAAGCGATGGGCGATAAGAAGAGCCAGTCCCAACATGAATTACAATAAAAACAAATCAAAGTGAATTGGAATAATAAAATGTAGGACCGAATTGGACTGGAAAATGGTATCAGGTCTGAGTCGCTGTGTGTGTCATGCGATTGCGATTGAATTTCTTCAACTATGCATTTCTTTCAATTGCGCAGGCAAAGGCCCAAGAAACTAAAACTAAACAAGGAAGAACGCTATAGTCGAGTACCTCGACTATCAGATACCCGTTACTCAGCTAAATGGAGATATGCAAGCAGCAAAGCGAGATTAAAATGCGCCACCTACCGGTGGTATACAGATTTAAGCGTTATGGGCGTTAGAGTGGGCGTGGCAAATTTTTTTTTGGATCAATCGATAGGTATCGACGAGACCAATACATTTCAGTTACAATTTTGTATCTAGCATGAAAATTGTGGGCGTCACAGGTTTTTGCGGTTTGTGGGCGTTAAAGTGGGCGTGGCAAACTTTTTTTTGAGTCAATCGATAGGTAATGACGAGACGAATACATTCCAGTTAAAATTTTTTATCTAGCATAAAAATTGTGGGCGTCACAGGTTTTCGCGGTTTGTGGGCGTTAAAGTGGGCGTGGCAAACTTTTTTTTAGGTCAATCGATAGGTATTGATGAGAACATTACATTACAGTTAAAATTTTTATTCTAGCATCAAAACTGTAGGAGCCACAGTTTTGGGCGGTTTGTGGGCGTTAGAGTGGGCGTGGCACTCTACTGAAACAAACTTGCGCTGCGCAGGAATCTCAGGAATCTGCGTGCCTAATCCCAGTATTGTAACTCTCATAGTTTCCGAGATCTCAGCGTTCATACGGACAGACGGACAGACGGACAGACGGACAGACGGACAGACGGACAGACGGACAGACGGACAGACGGACATGGCTAGATCGACTCGGCTAGTGATCCTGATCAAGAATATATATACTTTATGGGGTCGGAAACGCTTCCTTCTGCCTGTTACATACTTTCCGACGAATCTAGTATACCCTTTTACTCTACGAGTAACGGGTATAAAAACAAGGAAGAACGCTATAGTCGAGTACCTCGACTATCAGATACCCGTTACTCAGCTAAATGGAGATATGCAAGCAGCAAAGCGAGATTAAAATGCGCCACCTACCGGTGGTATACAGATTTAAGCGTTATGGGCGTTAGAGTGGGCGTGGCAAATTTTTTTTTGGATCAATCGATAGGTATCGACGAGACCAATACATTTCAGTTACAATTTTGTATCTAGCATGAAAATTGTGGGCGTCACAGGTTTTTGCGGTTTGTGGGCGTTAAAGTGGGCGTGGCAAACTTTTTTTTGAGTCAATCGATAGGTAATGACGAGACGAATACATTCCAGTTAAAATTTTTTATCTAGCATAAAAATTGTGGGCGTCACAGGTTTTCGCGGTTTGTGGGCGTTAAAGTGGGCGTGGCAAACTTTTTTTTAGGTCAATCGATAGGTATTGATGAGAACATTACATTACAGTTAAAATTTTTATTCTAGCATCAAAACTGTAGGAGCCACAGTTTTGGGCGGTTTGTGGGCGTTAGAGTGGGCGTGGCACTCTACTGAAACAAACTTGCGCTGCGCAGGAATCTCAGGAATCTGCGTGCCTAATCCCAGTATTGTAACTCTCATAGTTTCCGAGATCTCAGCGTTCATACGGACAGACGGACAGACGGACAGACGGACAGACGGACAGACGGACAGACGGACAGACGGACAGACGGACATGGCTAGATCGACTCGGCTAGTGATCCTGATCAAGAATATATATACTTTATGGGGTCGGAAACGCTTCCTTCTGCCTGTTACATACTTTCCGACGAATCTAGTATACCCTTTTACTCTACGAGTAACGGGTATAAAAAGCGCAACGCGTAAAAAAGTGAGCTCAATGAGGGCCGTCACAAAGGCCCGACTTAAGGGGGATACGTATATGGTATATGGTGTTATATAGAGGCGCCTGCCTTGATTAACATAAAGCGAGACGAGACGAGACGAGACGGGACAAGTGACATGAGCGACTCTTTCTCTCCGCACTGCGCAATTAATTTTTATCACACATTTAGCATGTGCAAAAAGTGTTATACATGCCCAGGCCACACTCTACTAAATACAGATACATTTGCGAGTGAATCTGCGACTCCTTTCGCCTGTGGCAATTTGTCATTCCTCGGCGCGTATTTTTAGCACTTTTCCTCTAGTTGAGCCTTTGAAAAATGTTTGCCACGTGCCACGGCTTTTGAGGCAAGAACTGGTATAGCAGATGTGTAAAGCCCCGAGTTAATGAACTCCCCAACTTATCTCCTCTTGTTATTCTAATTGCTGGATAGTGGGGGGCTGAGAAAGTACTGCCAGTGAGTATGGCATAGAAGGGGCCCGTCAGTTTCAAATACTTTCTAAATATACCAGCTATGCAGATTTGATGCGATTTCAAACAGTATGAGTTAAAAATGTATAAATTATAATATTTCATAATCATAATTATTTTTGAGCGATACTTCTAATTAATACATATAAAACTGGAAAATAATGGCTATTGTATGTTATTATGATTGCAATCCCTGATAAATATCATCTGAGTTGAAAATGTTCTTAAAAATAGAACGACATTTTTGAAGTTGAAAATGTTTTCATTTTGCTCGAATCAAGTTGAATAAACTTATCAAGAAGTGGTTAAACAATCTCAATTTAACTTTTCTCTTTTCACCATTTCGTTCTAATATTGAGAAAACTAATACCAAAATGTACTTTTGCTGTTTTTAAGAACGAATGTTCTCAATTCAAGAACAATGTATTTGAATATTTATCTCTGTTAGGTTCAAATATACTAGGCTTAGTAAATATTTTCTTACCTTCTTCTCGGCCTTCGCCTTTTGTCGCTCCCGCTCCACCTGTCGCTGCTGACTGATGTGGCCATTGGTTCCACCACTCTCCGCATGGGAGGATGCACTATGGTCACGGGGCTGGCTGTTGTTTTGGCAGACTGGGTTATTATCGCCGCCACAGTGGCTATTGGAGCTCTTCTTCTTCCGGGGCGGGATGCGTCCATTGAACTCCTGCAGACGCTCCCGACCGGCCGTAAAGTTGTCGTAGCGATCGAACTCGTCCCAACTGGCCTCATGATCGCTCTGGTACTCGCGCTCATCCTCGCCCGTCGAGGTCAATCGCTTGCTGTGGGAAGAGACGCAATATGGGCACTATGAGTATCGCTGCACATATAGACAAGTGACTTGGGAACTTGGGAACGTCATGGGCAATTATCAGTCGGTTCGGTTTGGTTTGGCACTGTATGCCACACTGTGTGTGTGCATAATCCAGCGACAACTTGCCGATTTCATTAATTAAAAACTTTGCGTTGAGTCATGGGAACTGGACTAGGGGTCGGGCGGAACGTAAGGTGCCCAGATTGCGTTAAATAATCTTGCTATTACGCATGGTGCTTAATTTTGAATCATTTGCATGGCTTCTGTTTCTCTCAAGAAAGTGTCTAATCATCAGACTCTAGTGTTTGTAATGAATACCTCCTAAAATGATAGGCTAATTAGGTTAATATATCACCTAAAATTCGTTAGGGCATGTTTGTCCTTAAAAAAGTTTTTGGAAAGTTTACGGACTTGTATATAAACATGATTCTCATAACTATTTTTCAAGCTGTTTTTTGGAATGTTATTACTAAATAGGTTCGAATCCAATTTACCTGGTTAGGGGAGCGGAATAAACTATTTTCAAAGTTAAAATCTGAGGCGAACGAAAGTTCCCTACGGATTTCAATGTGAGCCTGACCCTCTTAAATATTATTCACACTTTCTTATGATATTTTCTGTTTGCCTTTACATCAGCCTTGCTCTGCTTCGGAAGTGATGTATCTTTTACCCATATATCATTATAACACCAACATATGTAAAACACATTCTCAGGAACCCTAAAAGGAAACCTTTTCTGGTCATCCTAAACATATTACGGTTCGGAACTTTTCCCTCACATTTTTGTATAGCTCATCGATCCGAACCTGTATCTGAGTACCCCCCAGGCATTGTATCTTTTGGCACCCTGCATCGCCGGCTACTCACCGTCTGGCCGCATCCGACTGGCTGCGCTGCAGGCGCATCTTGGGCGCCACTGGCGCCGACAGGGGCGTCGACGTCGATGAGAGGGGGCTGTGGATGTGGCCGTGCCAGCCGAAGGCCGCCGACGAGGTGGAGGTGCCCGCACTGGCCGTGTTCGGGGTGGGTGGCGGCGTGTAGGCGGCGTAATAGGGACCGCCCATCCCGAAGGGGGCGGAGTGGTGCGGCATCATGTGCGCCGACTGCTGTGGATAGCTGTGGCTGCAGTGCATCGCCGGCGCTGACTGCGGTGGCATTGGCTGCGGTGTCGATGGCGCCGGATACGGCGGATGTGGCTGCGGCTGCTGCTGCCGGAAGAAGTTGTACTCCTCGCCGGAGGAGAAGGTCACGCTGGTGCGGGGGGTGCGCGGGTGCGGATTCGAGTTCGAGTTCTGGTGGCCGTGGGGGAAGAACACATCGCCGCCCGTGAAATTGCAAGAGGGGCTCGGCGGCGGCGGATACTGGAAGATTTGAGGGGCTGCAACGAAAGCGGGAGATTTTATAATTAATATACAGTCAGCATTCAATAAGAGGTACTTCAGAACAATTATCTGACTATATTATTATTTTATTTACCATTTAAAAATATTAGTAAAAAGGTAATAATCCATTTCATTACTATACATCTTTATAGACAGACTCTTTAAAGTAATTAAAATTAGTTCGCCCTCTGGATGATGTACTGTGCACCTACTTATACCCGTAATAAAGATCACCCAACAATGGATGAGGTAAACAAAGGTGGCATTGGCCGGTTCTGGAATGAAGTCAACTTGAGTCAGTGACAATGTAGGGAAGTGTCTAAGGTCGGGGTCTGTCGAACGCATTGTCTTGCCAACTGCCACTTAGCCGACTGACTGTAAAACCTGGCGTAATTATGGCAAGTCCTCTCCGATCATAAAACCGCCCATAAAACGATCTGGTAGCCCCCACCAGCTACAGGCTTCAGTGCACATTAAAGTGGAATATCTTCATATGCTGGTGCAGCAGGAAACCACATAATGTAGCTTTTAAGATAAATGTGCAAATAAGATGTTATATGAAACGTTGCAAATATTTAATGGGTTTCGGTCACCTTTATTTCAAGTCCCTTAATTAAGTAGTATGGGGTATTTACCAATAAAACTAGTCATTAAAGGTTTACTTCGTAAATTTATATGGAGTATTTTATAAATTAACCGAAAATCATTATAAAAGATATTATAACTTCCTAAATACACATTTTTATAACCCATCTGAAACATATCCATGAACAATGGCAAACAAATTCCACTTACTCGCAGCGTTAAGTATCTTACAAGCCGCCTCAAGATACATTTGTATCTCAGTTGTTTACACGTCATTGCCGATTCTCGTGCTCCTAAGTATTTCTTCTTTTTTTGTATCTTTGCCAAACATTGCCATGAGCATCTACTTGAGTGGCCCATCTTGAAAAGTATCTGTTTCTGCCAGTGGGATCTTCCAGCTTTAGCATCATTTTTGCATGCATCGAGAAGCGTATTTGTATCTTCTGTTTGACTGCCAGTTGTATTTCAATTTTTCTCCTCCTTTTTTTTCACTTGCAATTTCATGCAAATCGACAACAAAAGCGTTGATAGGTAAATGCGCTGCTAAGCTGGCCACTTGATATGCGCATAAATTGTGAGCTCCCCATTAGTTGGGTGTACATTTTCATCTGTATGATTTCTTAATGTTTATTTACTTAAAAAGCCATTGCCCAGCGAGACAAATGATTGATTGTAATGCAAAATTTATACAAATCGCCAGCAGCCGGCGGCAGAAGTACAAGTATCTTACGGATGCCGATTACCGGACAGCAAGAACGATAATTGACCGCAGGGAATGTCCGACCATCTAGCCAATACATCCATCCCACCGATCTGGCTGTCTGTCTGCCTCTTTGTCGGTGGTCAGTTTGCAGATATACAATAATGTCACTCACTGTCAACCTGCAGGCGACTAATTTGCAATTTGACCCAATAGCCTTGAACTCGAATCGAATCGAAACGAGCCCACAGCTGTTGCGTTTGCGTTTGCATTTGCAGTTGCAGTTGCAAAAGCGCAAAAAATCTGTATTTAATTGCAGGCCAGGCCAGGCCAAGCCAAGACAAGCCGATCCGAACCGAACCGAAGCGAAGCGAGTTAAGAGCCACTCCTTTTGCCGCAGCCTTAGCATCTGTATCTGTAAGATACTGCCAGGCATTTGAAACTAGTTTGCTATGCAGTTCGCTGGCTAGCAGCTGAGCAAAACTCACGTGCGCTCGCCGCGCGCCATCGCAGAGTCGCTTTTAACCTTGAAAATCTGCCAGCTTTAGCTTCAGCCTCAGATTCAGCTTCAGAAACGAAGCGAAGCCAACGGCAGGGATCATTACTGCCTGGCCAACTTATATAACTAGCCAAGCCACGGCGATGCTGGTGCACAGAGAACAAATACCACCAATATTGAAGGGATATTTTGTTTAGAAGGAACCCAAAAACTCCTCTTTTAATACTAAAAATAAATGTTTTGATATCTGAAATAACTTGTATCATATAATACTAGTTTAAATGTTGTCCAATATAGTGGTCAAGATAAGTAGGGATACCTTTTTAATCATCAATTCCATACTCTTTCCTATTTTACTGTTTACATTTCCATGCAATTTAATAGAAAGTATATTCTACTGACAATGTTCTAGTCATACCAAATGTGTAAATTAAAATATTTAATGGATGCCATAGTAAAAATAGCTGTTTGAATACCTTGATTTATTTGTATCACCCACCCACGGTCAACTTATAATCGGTAAACAAGCCTTATCCTTTGTGTGTTGATTTCCTTTTTTCCTCATGTCTTATATCACATATTAAGTACTATTTGAAATTCCAAGCCGTGTAATATAGTTGTGGAGATAAAAATAAACATATTTTGATCATTTTTCCCTGTGTACTGCCTTTATGATGAAATTGACGAGCTATAGCCCAAGCCCGAGCCCGATAAAAATGTTATTACTAATTGCAAATTGTGTGGAAAATTATTTACCAACTCATTTCGTTTGCCATCGCATTTACATATGAGATATATTTTCATTCGGTGCTGGCACAAACGGTAAAGCCGTCAATATAAATTATCCAAGTGATCGTATATCGCATAAATTGCCGTGGGTTACTAAACTGTGATTTAATCGGAGATCGGAAAAATACGTAAGCAAACTATACACAGTGTGATTTAATCTTTGATTAAGTGAGAATGTTTTAAATTCTATGCCTAAACGGTGATTTCGTTTAACAATGTTATCGGTTTACTATCTGAAATCGCAGAACATTCTCAAATAAGAAAATGCTAAAAACTGTTATTAAGTTATTTTTTCTGATTTTTTGTGTTCTTTTCTGTTGGGCAAACAAACTATTTGGTTCGACTTAATTAAATTAAGGCTTAATAATGCCAATTATGTTTAATATTTCGTGTTAACTAAATCACACTTTAATTAGGCGTTAATCAGCGGTCAGTGATATTTTCTTATTGTGTTTTAATTTAGTTAAAAAATTCGTTAGAGATTTATCACGAACAGAAAAGTGTTAATTAGTCTCTTAAACGTCATCTATTAAAGGAAAATGTACTTTATTTTTAAAAGTTTTCCATTTAGGCAGTATTTGTTCAATCTTTGGTTTATGTAATCCATTTTTCAAATTCTAGAATTTTGAAAAGCTCTGAATTCCTGGCCATCTCTATAAGGTAGTTGGGTCCGATAATTCACAATACCTCAACCATTTTTATGATCGCAGCTCAATGCGGGCTATGCAGTGTTGGTGACGAAACGTGACCAATTGTTGGGAGTATTGTTTTTTATTCGAACAATATGTGCAAAATGTTTAATTGAATTACGAGTACCAGTCGCATCTGGACAGAACAACGGGGACTGAAAAAAAATGCAATTATGTGTATAATTCACTTTAATTCTCCATCGGTTCTAGGCGATGTTGCAACCATTTCTAAGGCCGCTGGGCAGCAGCTGACAAACATCAATCAGGCAAAAGTTTAACTAAGCAGAACGCCTCAGAAAAAGCTCAAGAACAGCTCGGAGGCAGCGGAAAAACGTGAAAAATGCCTCGCTTTAGTTGCCACACAAAAGAACAAATCGTCGTCGGCAACGTTGAAATGCATTTTTAGTTGTGCCTTTGCAGTTGATTGCATTTGCAGTTGCAGTTGCAGTTTGCTCGCCTACCCGCAGCATATGTTGCTCATTATAACCTTGAAGTGCTGGCTAAATGCAAAAAGAAAAAAAAAAGTACACATAAAAATATACTAGAGTCACCGCACCGCACGGGCGAGTATGAATAAATACGAGTGCGGGTTCGAGTACTCGTATCTCTGGCAGCCCAACTCGAACAATTGCGTCGCACTTCGGAATCGGCGGCTAAGCGAGTTTGCAAAGTGCGAGTTCCATAAGTTGGTCAGTGGAACGGAATGGGAAATGCCATATGGATTGGCCAGATATCGGGGAAGGAAGCTATAGCCGAGCTGAGATATAGGAAGGAAGTTGTGGCTGGCAACGAGAGTTCTTTTTTTTTTTACCGACTTTTAATCTTATAATGTAAAAATAATCACATACTCGTTATAAATACATTTATCTTAAAGATTTTTTTAAATTTTACATTTATCATTCAAATACTATACAAATAATAATATCAGTAGTTATTGTAAGTATTGTATTTGAAAAAACTTTATAGGAAATGAAACAAGCTTATTCCAGTTTAAACTGGTACATAAATCCTTTAAAAAGGAAATTATATCTTCGATCAGCCAACTTCGAAGCACAATTTGGATAATAAACCCCCATGGCTTCACCAAACAATCTCATGTTTCATTTCTGCCATCAAAACTCCAAGCCATCGAATCTTTCAGCAAACTGCAATCTCTTATCCCAAAATCTCGAGACCCTCAAAACAAGCGGCAACTTCACTTGACATTGACATTTATTGATGAATATTTAATTTAAAATTAAAAAAAAAGATAAACAGAATCGAAACAAGCTCAGGATGACAGAACAAAGGAACACTCCACACTGAACTCCATCTTGAACTCAAGCAAAGCTCAGGATTACAACATGAAATACACGTCGGAGACCTGAATAACTTGGCCAAAAAAGTGTAAAAACTCATTTTACAGTTAACACAAAACGCCCACACACGAAGAGGAAGCACAATGAGCTACGGCAACAACCAAAAACAGTAAATAAAAATCCCACAAAAATTACATTTGAAGTCGTTCATTTAAGGCGATTTGTCGTCTGTCACGATGCGAGATTACTAATTTGGTTGGTCAACTCGCATTTCAGTTCGTCAGATCGTCTGTCACCTCGATTTAATTAGGCAACAGCTGCCGATGTTTCCCCACAGATGAACGGTAAAAACTGCTCATGGCCAAGGCAAGTGACTAATTAATGGCTCTTCAGGAAATTGGTAGAGAATTCGGGAAACAATGATCAAGAAACTCTG